AGTTCATCATCTAATGCTAATTCATTAAGCTTAGATTGAATCTTAGCTTTACACTTATTAGCATAATGTCCTATTTGTCCACATTTATAACATTTTATAGAGGATTTATTTTTCTGGAAAGATTTTCCTTTAGCCTTTGATCTATGTCTAGGCTTGGAGGTTTGAGGCTAGACCTGAGTTTTAGAAGATTTTGGATTTCTATATTTTCTGATCTTCTTATAATGTTTAGAATAATTCTTTTTCCTTTGTTGCTTGTGAGGATACTGGACTGGTGCATCATAAGCAAATTGTTCACAAAACTCACCTAACTCTTTTTTCCTTGTGAGTTGCTGGTGTTTGAGTTGTTGCTGGAGTTTAAGATCATTGCAAAGTGCAAGACCTTCATCCGTTACTATACTTACGAGTTAACCATAAGTATAATGGTAGTATGGTATGTTTATAGAATGATGTCTATCTCTTAACTTTTTGCGAACTCGTTCAGCAAAAAGGGTAGGAAGGCCATAAATGAATTTGGCTTTCCAATGTTCTGCACTGCCATCAGTTCTCTGCATGACTTTCATCAGGAAAACATCTTTATACCATCGGAAATGGGATAAAGAAGGACACCGAAGTTTCATAAGTAGTTCCCTATTACGATCTTCGATCCCTGAAACATGTCCAATAAAATGGGCAATAATAGTATTAATTAATGTATAGACAGCATCCTCTTCTTCTCGTTCAACAGGTTGTGCTGGAGCAGTACTAGGTCTGGTACTAGTATCTATATCAATGACAGTTTTGGTGGATGAAAGGATTTCAGTACATTGGTTAGTTGTGAGAATGTTATCCCACCATCCTTTCAAGACACCAGTAAAACCACTAACAAGATAACGGGCAACCTGGTGATCAGAATTATTATTCAAAGAATTTCTCTGGACTCCACAACCCAGAGAAATTCCCAGACAAACCTTTCCAAAAAAATTGTTAATTTCAGTAATTATCACATACTCCTCCAAAGAAATAAGAAAGAAAAATAATGGATAAAGCTGCCATGGGCATGGACGTGATGCTTTGAGACAAGACCAATGATGATGAACTTGCAGAATTTGTAACCAAGTCCTTCGAATTGGGTGAACCTACAATTCATCAATTAATACTACAGTTAGGATAGATATGAAATTTGAATCCGAGAATCTCATGACTAAGAAAGTGGAATATATATGAATGACAAGTAAAAAAATTTGCCAAAAACTGTATATAATTTGCTAGAGAAACTTGCTTCTGACTCGATTATAAATTGTGTTTGGATTATGGATTTGTATAAAGATTTGAAAAGAGAAAAGAAAATATAGAAAAATGTTTGTTTTCATATTTAAAATCTGTCTAAAATTTGTGATTCAAAACACAGGAAAAAGGAATGGGGTGTGGGAGTATATATATATATATATATATGCGTGTGGTATACCTGTAGCTGTAGCAAGGCAGTGGCTGGCGTCGGAGTCTGATTGTGAGGAGATGAGGAGGAAGAAGATGAAGCACAAGGCGATCCACGGCGGAACTGAGCGTGGCCAGTCCGGTTCAAAACTCACCGCCATTGAAGCTATATATATTTGTGTGGGAAGTTGAGGTTTGATTTCAGACAAATTTCTCTGTGATATATGGGTGTGGGAGTTGAGGGACCTTAGACATCAAAAAATAATTTATGGATCTCCTCCATTATGAAAAGTAGGAGAGGGACCCTAAACTAATTTTCCCTAAACTTACACTTAGCACATCTAATCATATATATACATAAATAATATCATCTAATATCTGAAGATAATCTATACTCTTTAATTTTGGCTACAATATTATATATTCAATAACCTAATTTAGAAATCTAAGACTAGAGTTATTGATAAATGATATTTGTTATCGATATCTCCAACGTTTATTCAAATTTTTTATTAAATTTGAGTAAAAATTTGATTTGATATGATATGATGCGCTTCAATCGTTTCATTAAATTTGACTAGTCATCTGCTTAGTCATCGAGCCTAGTGTAAATTTTCATCAAATCTTTCTCAATCTGATTGTCTGGCCGGTCGTCCACCAATAGTTACTAGCAAAATTTGATGAAATGTTAAATACTCTCTTAATTTGATTAAAAAAAATTATGATTTTCTTTGTTTGATACTAATTTAGTGAAACGGTTAGAATGTCGTTTTTACAAAAATTTTATTAAATTTAAATTTAATAAAAGATTTGAATTTAAATTAAAGATAGCCTTATATCATTGATTTGTTAGAATGACAATTACTTTATGATAAAAAAAACATGGCGAGAAAGAGTTTTTCATCTTTCTTCCCCTTTTTAGTCCATCCGGGTTATATATATTAAACATATTTACGTATATAATATATAATTTATTTATTTTTAAATATTAATTTATTTATTTTTAAATATTTCATCTTTCTTCCCCTTTTTAGTCCATCCGGGTTATATATATTAAACATATTTACGTATATAATATATAATTTATTTATTTTTAAATATTAGAGCAACTTTATGGGAGGAGGCAAAATAACTATACGAGATATTTTTGACTCTCCACAAGTAGCTAGAGTCTATCGTTAGGCAAAGAGCTTCATGCAATTTTGTCTATATTTACTTCGTGTTTTTTCTTTGTTCCAGTACATTTGATTGTTTATGAAAATAATACCGCTAAAAAATATGATCGTGTAAAAATATAATTATGAAAAAATATTATTTTAAAAAATAATTTAATAATATATTTTTTAAGAAATATCTTTAAATGTCATGTCAGTAAGCATGCCTGTTACTCTTCCCTCCCATTTTGCCCAACATCTCGGAGTAGTTCTTAGAGCATCTCCAACGGTGACTCAAATTTTTCATTAAATTTGAATAAAAAATGACCCATTTCACTAAATTGATACCACTCGCTCCGACGGTTCACCTTTCACCAAATCTATCTCGGGACAACCGGGTGGTCGACCGACCGGTTGACCAGATAGGCAAATTTTTTTTTTTTTTTTTGCGAATTGTCTGAACTTTTTTTGAACTTTCTGAACTTTTTCGGGACGACCGGGGTGGTCGACCGGCCGATTGACCGGTTAGGAAATTTTTTTTTTATTTTTTTATTTTTTAACAGTTTGAACTTTTTTTCTTGAACTGTTTGAATCTTTTACTGGTTGACCGGTTGATCAACCGGCCGGGCAACCGGCAGGTTGACCGGTGTACCTCTTTCAACGGTTAGTAACAGTGATTTGGTAAAATCTGTGTCTCGTTCTCAGTTTGATACTTTTTTTTGCTGAAATCTTGTTACAGTATAAAGAGCATATTTTGGGAACCTTGCAACGGTTGGAGCTTGAAAAAGTAGAATAGACAATTGATTAATGAATGGTTTGGTAATTAAAATGAGTAAACAAAATTGGCAAGTAAAAGTGTGCAAGATGTGATGACCGGTTCAAAAGCCGTCTTGTTTCCTTTTGAGTTACATTGGGTGAGTTGTTGAAAATTTCTTCTCCAAACATTTTCGGTTGCATTGTTTCTTTTCCAAGTTTTCACTCGTTTTGGAGGGTGCGAGGTCAGCTCCTTGGTGTCAGGTGAGAAGCCAAGCTTTTTTCGGGCTGGAGGGCCAGAGCCTCAAGTGCGGGGCCTTGGGCGGCATGTGCAGGAGAGGGGCCGCACGTGCGAGAGATTAGGCCGCACGTGCGGGGGTGGGAGCCACACGTGCGGGAGAGGGCGTTGCACGTGCGGTCAGGCACTTTTTCTATCTCATTTTTCGTGCTTTTCAGCTATATTTTGCTCTTTTTGCCCCCTTTTTATCCATATCTGCCTGTTATTTCCATCTTTGTTGCATCGCTGCTTACTCTATATTTGTCGTTTCTTATTTTCTCTAACCCATTTGATCGTTTGAAAATGTATACCATTAAAAAATATGATCGTTTAAAAATATAATCATGAAAAAATATTATTTTAAAAAATAATTTAATAATATATTTTTTAATAAATATCTTTAACAACAATGTTAAGTAGCTTAAAATTTTGTGGCTCAAATGGCTCAAATCACTCAAAACAACGTCATTTTGACAGATTTTAAGTATAAAACGACGTCGTTTTGACAGATTTGAGTCATTTGAGCCACAAAATTTTGAACTACCAAACATTTTTTTATCTTTAAATGCCATGTCAGTAAGCATGCCTGTTACTCTTCCCTCGCATTTTGCCCAACAGCTCGGAGTAGTTCTTATAAAGCTAAAACACTAACACCATTTTGGATTAAATGATTTAGAGAGAAAAAAGAAAAAAAAGAAGAATGTGTATTTCTCTTATTTATTTAAATAATTTAAGAAAAGAGAAATGTAGAGAAATAGAAAGAAATTAATTTCTCTTATAACCCTTATTTTTAATCTTTCTAAAAGTGAAGAGATTAAGAGAGAAAAGAAATTAACACATCTTTAGATTAAATGATTTAGAGAGAAAATAAAAAAAATAGAGGGATATGTATTTCTCTTATTTATTTAGATAATTTAAATAGAGAGAAATGTGGAGAAATAGAGAAATTAATTTCTCTTATAACCCTTATTTTTAATCTTTCTAAAAGTGAAGAGATTGAGAGAGAAAAGAAATTAACAAATTATTATATTTTCATAATATTAATTTTATCCCTATAATAAAAGAAATAAAATGATCGACAAACTATAAAAAAATTGTTTTGATAATATAACATAAAATAGTTTTTTTTTTTTCTTATGAAATCTAACCAAACAGGAAGGAAAAAAATTATAATAATTTCTTTTCTTTTATTTCTTACTTATCCAAATAAAAAAGAGAAAAATCACCATCATAATTTTTTTCTCATAATTTAAGTAATTATTTTTTTAAAAAAAATTATCATTTTTTTTTTAATATGAGAGAACATTTAAATTTAATAAATTCATTTTGATAATGTAAATCGTTTATTTTTATAATTTGTTTTATTTTGTTAATTGGAGTGTAATTCTTGTCGGAACCCCCTCCCCCCCGAGGATCAGTCCACACAAAGCTCGCTCTCTCTCTCGCTCTGCTTGATCTCTCTAATCTCTCTCTCTCTCTCTCTCTGCGTTCACATTGGCTGGTTCATTGAAGATAAAGCATTTTGGTTTCAGATTGTTCATCTAATAAATTAATTACCTACATTTATCCCCCCCTTCAATTCTTCCCCCACCAACACCCTAGCTGTTTGTTTCCTCTCTCTCTCTCTCTCTCTCTCTCTCTCTGCAACTGATCTCTGAGCTCAACTTTCGTATGCTTTTTTCTTGGTTGCTTCTTTTCTTCAAAACAACCAACTTTACATCTGTCAAGCGTTTCATCAATCAGTTTCGATACTAATACCAAAGAATTATACTCACAAATTCACCGTTCATCAACCAGTTTTCCAATCAGTGTTTCCCTTCTCTTCCCAGAGAGAACCCACACTCTTCTTCCCTCTATATAATTTTTTACTCAAAAGAGGCCTCTAAACCATGACCCACTTGCACTTCTCAGCTTCTTCTCTTCTCTTCTAAAACCCATTTCTGTCTCTGTAAACCCATCTCCCAAGAGACCCTTTTGGGAAAATCCCCCATTGATCTCTACCCCGTGCTCTGAGTGAGTGAACACAATGACCCATTTAGACTTCTTCAAGAAATTCAAGCGATTGACCCCTCCAGAACCCTCACCTAGCATTCTTGGCTTCTTCTTTGTCTCTGTTTTCTTCATCCTCTGCTTCTTTTATTTGGATTTCCGAATTGTGACCAGAGGGTTTCGCTCTCTTGGGTACCCCAACTCAGTGACATGGTTTGGCTTGAATCAGTCGGTGGGGGAGTATCCACTGCCGGGGTTTCTTGAAGAGGATGGTGGTGATTGTGACGTGTTTGATGGTAATTGGATTTATGATATTAGTTATCCACTGTATAGGTCGGAGGATTGCTTGTTCTTAGACGAAGGATTTCGATGCTCTGAGAATGGCAGGCCAGATAATTTCTACACTAAGTGGCGTTGGCAACCTAGAAATTGCAATTTGCCCAGGTTTATTTTGATCTTTTTCTTGAAGTTTAGTCTAAATATAGATAGATTAATGACATTTATGTAAACTTTTGCCGAAATTTTTTGAGCTAATTTACATTAGTGACTCTTTGAATTTTAGTTAATCTAATTTTTAATCATAGAATATTCCTTTTTTGTATGTGCATGTGTATTCATTGAGCAATACCAAAAAAAAAAAAAAAAAAAAAAAAAAAAAAAAAAAATCAAGAAAAGTGCCAAGAATATAGCACTTTTGGTATCCATTCATTTGTTTATGATATGCACATGCAAGCATGTATAGTATTAAGAGCCAATAGTCTTTTGCCACTTAAGTTATTTACAATCAGCTTAACAATGTTTTGAAACAACTAAAATTTTGTCTTTGCTAGTTCCATTTTGTTTCTTATGACTCCGGCTGAAGAAAGTTTGAATTTTTGTGTTTTTTTCAATTAGAAATTCATATTGCTGTTGTTGACAAGTTCTAACAACCTTTCTTAATTCCAATTTCACTATCCATGTTTTTTTGTTTTGTTTTTAGCTCTTCTAGTTCAGTTTAGTTGAATTTTGATTGTTATTATTTCTGTGTTTCCTGCCAAAACATTCAAATATATGCATTTAGCATTCTTTCTTTTAAATATAACTGAAGTTGCCTTTAATCGGCTTTGGGAGATAATTCGGTATGTGGCGAGTATAGTCAGCAACTTGTGCATAATGGAACTTTTCAACATTTTTATAATTTAAGCTCGACTTTGTCTAAATGATTGGAGACATATATAAGTTTGTTATTTGGGTCATCTACTACTTTTTTTGAAAGCAGATTTGATCCAAAGAACATGCTGGAAAAGCTGCGGAACCGCCGGCTTGTATTTGTGGGCGACTCTATTGGAAGAAATCAATGGGAGTCCCTTCTCTGCATGCTGTCTCCTGCAGTTCCTAATAAGACTTCAATATTTGAAGTCAACGGGAGTCCAATCACAAAGCACTCTGGTTTTTTGGTGTTCAAGTTTGGGGATTTCAACTGCACCATTGAGTACTACAGAGCTCCATTTCTAGTGCCACAAGGTAGGGCTCCGGCTGGAGCTCCAGAAAAGGTGAAGTCTACTTTGAGAGTGGATCGGTTGGATTGGAGCTCCTCACAATGGAAAGGTGCAGATGTGCTGGTTTTCAATGCTGGACATTGGTGGAATTTTGAGAAAACTATAAGAGGGTAAATATAGTCTCTGAAATTCTTTATCTGGGCTTAGATTATTCATATATATATATATTGTTTTTACTTTATTATTTTTCTGTGAAAGAGGAGACCGTTTTACTGAGGGAAACTTGTGAATTCAGATTTGTTTGCGTAGGAAGATGGAATTATTATCATTTCAAATTACAAGTTTAATTTAGGAAAAAAGTATTATCTGGGGTACAAATTAGTAACTGAAAAATTAGATGTTGATAAGACCAAGTTTACCAAATATGAGGATCTTGAGGTCCATAAGTATGTAAAGTAATTCTTCTGTTACTACCATTTGCTTACCCTAAACTAATAAACATTGTGCCTCACCTTTGGATTCATATACTTGTTAGGGGTTGTTACTTTCAAGAAGGGGAAGAAGTGAAGATGGAGATGAGTGTAGAAAGCGCCTTTCAGAGGTCAATTAAGACGTTGGTGGAGTGGATAGATAATGAAGTAGATTTGAACAAGACCAAGGTCTTCTTTCGAACTTATGCTCCTGTACACTTCAGGTTTGTCTCTTCACTAAATATTTTTTTACTGCTCCCAACAATTGTTGTTACACCCCACAAAGATTGGCTGCATTGGGAAGCCAAAAGTTTAAGGAGATGTAACTAATGCATCCACATCTCAACTATTTAAGTTTATCATTCCAAAATAATCCTACCTTTATTTGATGCTAGAATTTTGGAAAGAGTTCCTTGATCTTTTATAGGAGGTAACTGGGAAAGAGAATAAAATATAGAACGTATAGTAAAAAAAAGTCCAGCATGACCACTTTGAAATGAATGATCATAATGGACATGGCCAGTATTACAGAATGGAGAAAGTGTTCCTTTTTAATGGCTGATTCATGTAGCCGACACCAATTAACAGGGACAATTCTTGTTGAGTTGAATTGATTTTTTTCCATAAGTACTCTTCAGACCTGATGCTATGTAATTTATTTAGTTCTGAAGTATTTCAACTTCCTTAAAATTATCAATTGCATTTTTGGTTCTGTGTAATATTTATTTATACAGATTGTAGTGAAATCTATCCTATTTAGATAAAATACGATGAATTCCACATTTTCCATTTTTCCTTGATAACTGCAGCAACAAGTATCCTTCTAGTTAAGCCTATCACTTTTCTGAAATAGTACTAGCTATTTGGAAAATGCAGTTAAGAAATATTGAACTTGTTAATTACTGTTTCCTTGTTTTATTGTCAATAAATTACTTGTGCTGTTAATACGGTCATTTGCTCATGCAATTGACTTGTTCTGTTAATATACCATTCACCAATTGATAAATTCACCGTATTTGACAGTGGTGGTGACTGGAAAACTGGCGGTAGCTGTCACCGGGAGACATTGCCTGAATTTGGTTCACTGCCTGTTTCATCCCAAACATGGGTTCACTTAAAGATTGTCATTGATGTGTTATCTGAATGCTCAGATAAGTCACAAGAGAAGAAAGTGGATTTATTGAACATAACATACCTGACATCACAGAGAAAAGATGGCCACTTGTCTTTGTATTATTCAGGGCTCGGGCCGGCCCCTCTCCACCGTCAAGACTGCAGCCACTGGTGCCTGCCTGGTGTCCCCGATTCATGGAATGAGCTTCTCTATGCACTCTTCCTCAAATGGGAGTACAATCGCACGCAGAATTCAATGAAGGCAGCTCCAGCTCCAGTGTGATCAAGTGTGAAGTTATGCATATCTCTACAATTAACAACATTGATTTCTTAAACGGTCACTACATTTATGGGTACTTGGATAAGGTTTTGACCTTCAATCAACTGCCAAGGCATAATTATTCACAATAGAATGAGTTAGGTGCGGCTCTTCTTTGATCAATGCATCTCTAGTTCCTCGATGGACCAATATTGTTTGGACATCATATTCAAGCTTTACGCTAAACAGGAAAGAGAGAATTTATGCCGGGTGGATGCTTGCTTGGCGAAATAACGGTTTTGCCTCTTTATACAATGATGCACCCTGCTGTGATTATTTAAAAAAAGATTCAGAGATGCAATAATGAGTGATGGTGGAGAAATTCTTGGAGGCAGATGCCAAGAATTGATTTTGTACAAATTAAGTTTTGAATAGGCATGGTTTTCTGGAGCAATTTCCACAGTGGATGCAATATACTAAAATGTACTTGATTCTTGTTATCACATAATGCCATTTATATAGGGAATAGAAATTGAATACAAAGTAGTCTTTCACATTGTCTACTGTAATTTTTTTTTTTTTGGGTACATTGGAGGGGAGGGGGAAGTCTAACCCCAATGGTTATCTACTGTATTTTATATATATGAAGAACATTGGAATGTCATTGTCATTTGTGGTTTTTGTTTATAATCACAACTATGGGAAGGAGACAATATTACCATTATTATTATTGGTGTGTGTGGGTGAGGATACTCTATGACACCATGTAAGTTGCATGAACAGTAGCTGAATTTTCTATCCTTTGCTCATTTATGCATTGGAAATCTTCTTCTAGTCCTAATGCTCTTTACAAATTATTAGTTAAGGGAGTTACTGAGGTAGGCTTTTTACATTATTGGCATTGTGTCCTACAATGGTAAGCTTGACAGGGACTAAGCACATTTTCTGGCACCATTCGTGATTTTATTCTGTTATGCAAAGGTCTATGTGGGGAGTGGCTTGCAAATGTGTATACTATCTCAATATTTTTTCCTTAGTGTTATAGTGGTTTTTTTTTTCCAATTTTCATAATTGAGTGTTGGTGAGGAGCCCTCATTAAAGTCTGAGATGGTAGTAAACATGAAAAACTCATCCAATCAAATCCTCTCTGCCCTAGATCTCACGCAGCTGCAATAAGGATTGCAGGAGAATTACGTGCCCTGTTCTCTGTACACTTCTTGTCTGGCAGTGCTAGAAAGTCAACCCAGTTTTGTATATTGCAGGTATGTGTGGAGGTGCAAGATTTAATTATTCTTTCTCCGGTTTTAATATCCTTAATGGAGTTGATATTTCAATTTTGCAATTGCAGGTTTATTACCGATTTCTGTCCAGTAGCTGAAATGGAGCTTTGGACCCTGTGAGATTACTGATAAATGATAGATAAGGTATGTATAGGAAAGAAAATATTATATTGGATGAGGTTGCTTACATATACATGGTAGTTTTATAAACTCTATTGAATTATATTATTGTATATATCAAATCCCAGACTTAGCATCATTCTAACAGGAATAGAGTAGTCATTTTTTTTCTTTTTCACATCATCATCTCCCCTCCACTAACCCAATCTTTCTCTCCACAATTTTCTCTGGATTTCTCTTCAGTTTGATACATATATTTATATTTATGATGCCAAAAAATGGCTCTGATGCGTTAAATACAGCACCAAATGCTCTTATGTTAAAACATCAATCTATTTAGTTTGAAAAACCTGCTAGTGCCCCTAGTTCTTCAACCTCTTCTACTAGTACTTCAACCTTTTCTACCATCTTTATCAATAGGAACACAAAGCTGGCCATAGCTAGTCCTTCACCATTCTCTGCTGCTCCTAATTTGGAATAAGTGACTAGGCTAAGCTCTTGTTTCATTGACTGCAATTTTGGTGCTATGAATGCCTTAGGCCTGCATCTTTCCATTTTCATTATACTCTCTCCAATATCTCTCAGAGTCCACGCAAGTGATGACCCAACCGCTTCACATGGTTCTCTAATTGATTGTCTTAGAGCTGATGAGGGCTGATGATAGAATTTGAATAAAATGTCAATATATTATTATATTTTTAAATACGATTGATGAAATCTAGGGGATGAAAATTTCAGACCTGTCTATGAGATTGAAGACACTCTTTTAGTGATACAATGGTAGTAGCAAGCTCTCTAAGAACATCTCCAATTTGTAGGTATTTGTCCCAGGGATAAGAAAGCCCAAATTTTCCATGCCATGGTTCCCATCTTGCAAAATTTGCCTGAAACATACATTCTGATCATCGTAAGCTACTAATTTTTCTGTCTTAGCTAATTAGAGAAGATTTAAATGGAAGACAAAAAAAAAAAAGTGGTTAATTTTATGGGATTCTTTCATGCATCTAGGTGATACAGTTCAACCAGTAATGTCCAATTCACTGGAATCGCTTGTGCAATAACTCAATGGCTCAGATTCTTTATTAACGAGTTGGAATTTTGCTCATGAGAATCTTTAATTATTTATTTTTTCAAACATTTAGCTCTTCATTCTAACTCTGTGGTATAATAGTTTAATGAAAATATACCAGAGACTCGTCGCTGGACTTTGAGTGTAACATTGATTTGCAACTGGCAAAACTGGTGTTGGAATGGTTTTCCTTCTCATTGACTAGTCTGAAGTACTCCTCCAAGTATCCTACATTGATGACACAAAACCTCTCTCTAGTTCAGAGATATATAGTGTTTGATGACTTCCAAGTTGTAAAATGGAGAAATATTACAGATTTCTCAGAACTATTCAAACTCAAGTTAAGAAAGGAAAGAAAAAAAAGAAAAGAAAAGAAAGGAAAAGAGAGTTTACTGTAGTACTGATAAGCTTAATTTAATTCCTGTATTTTATGGTTGAGTTTCTAGAATATTTCTATCATATGATAAAAGCTAAGAATTTGAGATGGTTATTATTGTTTTTGTTAGATTAATTAAGGACTTACCTTCAATATAGCAGGCAAGTGTTTCAAACTTGGAGGCTATGGAGTAATGAAGTTCATCACTAGCCCAGATGGGAAAGATGAGCACGTTTGTGAAAACGCAGACGGCAAACCCCATGCCGATGTTTGACAGGCGTTCACGTGCTAGTTCCATGACCTTATCAGTGTGCAAACCAGATACCACAACCAGATTGAAGGTAAGGATGAAAATCATGGCTCCATAGTCATATCTCCTTTTAATGCTTGGAATCAATCGAAAGTATGTTGCTGCTGTGCCTATCCATTATCACAATCATGTTCTTTAGATTAATTTTAACCGTAACGATTCATGCCATTAGATGATAGACACAGTGAGAGATGCGTTTTTAGTTTTCAAGGAAGCTATGTTAAGCACTGAATTGTTGGTAGTTTTAAACCATTTTTCTTATTTATATTCATCAACAAATTTATGCTTGTCATTGCCTATTCATGACTGTGCGGTGCCACGTGTAAAGAATTATCATAGAAGAAAATTATGACGACATTGACGTATGCTTATCCTCACCAAAAACAAAAACAGAAGTGCCCACAATAATGGCATTGCCAATTCCACCAATTTCATCAGCCAAAATTGACGCCAAACATCCCAGTCCACCACCTAATATCGTTCCAATTCCGCGATTCAAACCCTTGCCAAGTGTAGCACCTGACATATATATTATCAAACAAATATTAAATTAACACGTAACACAAAAGAAATTCCATAAGGTCAAACTGTTTCAGTAATTGTGTATAATAGCAACAAACCTGCGGAGAACTCAAAGATCACCACAACAGTCATGATAGCCCAAATGGCATTTTCCCCAACTTTTTTGTATAGTGGATCGAGGAGATAGAGAAATGAAACCAAAACAAAAGCTATTCCAACTTTGAAACTGTGAATGACTTTTCTCATGTCATGCTTACTTTGCTTTGCTACAAGAGAATAAACATTAGAAAGAAGTGCAAATTGAGATTTCCTCTTCTGGGTAGGAGTAATCTCGTCTTCATTTGAAATAGTTATTACAGTTGAACTCATGGTTAATTGTTTCTTTCAACTTCCCCCCCCTTCTTGGATTGAGTACTAGCACTTTCTTGTAGGAAAGTTGAGTTGGAGGTCAACCCATTTTATACACATGGGATGTGGGTAGATAACAGTTACATCCAATCCAATTAATCTCCAATCCATCGGTTTGGCTAGAAAAAGATGAGAGTGAAAAACAATTTTGTTGTGTGTATTTATCTCAACATGAATTCATTTGTGAGCGCTTAGATGACCCTAGTGGTAGTGGAACACATTTGTTAGGGATAAGTGCACCTTTGCATAATGTGGAGAATTGTCATATCGCAACACCTCAAATGCAAATCTCATTGTTGAATCAACATTTATTGTGGATTGATGTAAAGCCAAGGTACTACAGTGTAGTTTATCTCACCTTCACATACAATCAACTAGAGTAGTGTTATGGTTTAAGATAATCCTACCATACGACTGTAATCAAGCAACTTAATTCCCAGTGAAGAGACCTAAGTCCAACACGCCTTCATTTCCTTTCACTATTCTCGTCTATCTTGTTATGGATGCATAAAATGGTTTCAATGTCATGTTGTGACATGGTTCGATGTCATCCATTTGAGACTGTTTTATGGTGCCTCTTTTTTGTGCTTTTACACAGTTATATTTGCTGTATGCTGATTATGTACGGTTACAGGATATTACAAATTTGGCATGCACATACTTTTCGAGAATTGACGTCAGGCAGCTGCAATCAATCGTAAAGGAAGATATTCAAGTGAAGTCTAATAAGATAAAAAGGTTAAAAATAATGATGATTAATAGAAAGTGACACCACCTCCCACTGTTAGTGTGGTCTATCGCTTATTAACCCCATTACAAGTTGTCTATTACATGAGCATGATGTCTTCTCCTTATAGTTTTGTGATGATTCTTTGAAATTCCTGATTCTGATTTTGCCAAATGTTTTATAGCTTTTGTGCCATCTTAATTTTTTTTTTTTTTCTTCCATGTGAATAATTAATTCACTATTCATGCAAATGCATTGTCAAGTCTAGAGTCATCACAAAAACCCGAGATCTTTTGGCTGCAATTTGTTTTCCATATAGTAAATTAGGGAAAATGTATTGGAAGGCCTCCATATTTTTGTGATTGGGTTAAAGGACATGCAAAACGCTCTTTTTTTCTTCTTCATTATAACAGTTAGTTAATTGTCACGATTGCCACAAAAGTGTTATACAGTTTCTTTGGCACTGTTGCTGTTTCATTAACATAATCGAGATAGAAAACTTGTACAATCATGATAGATATGTTTGTGTATACAACTGCTGATGATCTACATACCTAAATTTGTTTTCTCTATCATAGTCGGAGAACATGAATATCCTTTTACACCAAACTTACGGTTTTTTCAATCTTTGAATTTCAGAAGTGGATCCATCACTTCCGGCACATGATGTGTCTGATCCAAAAACACGAATCAAGTTGCCTTGTTTTCTATGAAACCTCTCCCTTAATATCTGCTAACTTACAACATCTTGCAGAAGGCCAGGATATGCATATGATTATTTGCCATTTTTGCATGACAAAAAGAAGAAAGACATAAAAGATGAGAATGACTGCGACTGCAAAATTGGTAAGTTTTTCCTCTTGATGTTTTATTTTTCATTTTTCACACCATATTTCTTTACACGGTGAGATATAGTTCACCTTGGGAGATTGACAGGCAGTTTGGTATAATGTTAAAACCTCCGTTATATTGCTAACACGCTTTGCTTGTCTCATTCCTTGGATTGTCTCATTCATTGGAGAATGAATGTGCTTATGGTTAGTCTAACTAATCAGTAGAAATTTTGGTTTTTTTTTGGCCCCACTCTCTCTCTCCAAAAAACAAAAAGAACAAACCAATTAGGAACAATATTTTGGAACTTTGATCATCTTAATGAGTTGTGGAGGCTCCTATTCCCTTGTGAAGTTGACATGAGAAAATTTGGCGTACCTGTCTATGGGGGAATTTTTTTTTAAAAAAATATGGAAGAAATAAAGATAAGTGCTACTTCATATATATATATATATATATTAATACTTGAAACTGTACTTGTCCATGCCTTCTGGTTTGCTTGACAAAAGTCAATTACAATTTGTAATGTAATTGCAGTATCTTAGGAACGTTTTGGACACACAAACAATTCCTCTCACACTCACTGCAAAAGAGATTGAAAGAAATAGGTGAGCTACCATGCACCAGCTAGTTGTCAATTTGTAATCAAACTTACCAATAAATGTAGGGGTACTTTTTTGTAAATTCGTTTTTACTTACTTATATTTTATTTAGTCAATATTATTTTTTTATATTTTAATAAGTTTTATGGATGACATAGTTATCAAAGTACCTCTAATAATATTCACATTTACAGTATGAATATTCCGTAATGTGAATATTTATATCGTCAATGTGAATGTTCACACCATCAATATGAATGTTAACATATCAATGTGAATGTTCATACTGTCAATATAAACATTCACTCATCAATATTAATATTTACATTGTAAAATATGAATGTTCATATCACCAAATTATTAATATTTGTAAATGTAGAAATATTCGTAACATACTTTAAATATGAGAATTAAGATTTGGTAGATTAAATATTTAAATAATTAGATTTATTGAAATATAAGAATATTTTATGAACTAATTATGATATAAATAGTTTAAAAAAAAAATTCTAATAAATCTCCTTTAAATGTATCAATTTGCTTCTTGTTTAGTCCTTTTACAATGAGTGCTTGTTGTGCCCACTAGATTTACTTAGCATTTTATTTTTGGACATAGCACTGTTGAAATTGGAAGTACTTGAAATATTTAAATGGTTTTCACGAGGTCTTAGGCTTCTTTGAACTTACGCGCTATTGCTTTCACAACTCTGGTCAATACCATTACCAAATTTTTGAAAATAATTATCCCACGTATTCGGAGGAGTCTGTCCCGTTCTGATTCTGAACGGGGAGGTTGTTGGGTCCGTGAGGTCTATCATAATTTCATAATTTTATTTTGATGATGTGAATTATTTATGTTATTGGATATTTTTTTGTATTTTATATATATAAAAATTTAGATCGATCTAATAATTAGAACTTGTTTAATTTATTGCTTGTCATAAAATAATGTATGGCTTATTTTTTTAAAATACAATTGTCGTCTAATTTTTTTAATGAAAGACATGATAAATCGATCAAGTTATAATTATTGAATTAATTTAATTTTTTATTTTTTATTTTTGTAGATGAAATATACGAAGTGCTTAATAAAATGAACAATTTATATAATTGAAACGGGGCTCGCGATAGGACCCATGGGCCTAAACAGCTCACTCAAGTCCAGATTTTGGCCCGGAGGGAATTATCCTCCTATTTTAGAATCTTTCTTTTGATAAATAAAGGAATCTATCTAATCATTAGAGAATGTGGTTAATTAGTGGTTTAATTTCTTGGATTTACTAGTCTTAGCTGAAAAGAGTTGGCGATCGATGGACAACTCTTTTTTTTATTATTTATTTCATGGTTCATAGGGGTACGGTAAAAAAATGTTAAAAAACATGAGCTCAGCCTTCACACTAGTATTTATTTATAATCTTTTGTTTGTGTTCTTTGTGTAAAATTAAAATCGGTTGTCGTTAATGCATTTATTAGGTGATGAAACAGTAAAAATCCCAAGATCTCACTTTTCACCATGTTTGAGATGAAATGATTAAATTTGGAAGCTACAATTTTTGTTTCATGAGGTTGTGTAAGGTTATAAATTTGGATGCGGATCAAAATACATTATAGTCTCCTATGTTAAAAAAAAAATAAAAAAATACATTATAGTCTCCTAATTTCAGAATGGTTCATCCTTGATATAAAGAGATTGACAATTATTTAAATAATTACCGTGCTAATGACAAATGATTCCTTCAACTCATATCCAAAACTATTAGACATTTTGCCTAATCAAAGACGTAACAAATTCCGAAGATCCAAGGGAGCCCAAAAAAAGTGTTCAACAAAAAAAAAAAGAAAAGGAAGCCTCAAAAAAATAAGGGCAAATTACATATACACCCCTCGAGGTTTGGCTAAATTACAGATACCTCCCTGAGGTTTGAGAAATTACGAATTTCCCCCTGAATGCTATATTTGCATAAGAAATTAGGGGGTAATTTGTTATGAAATATAAACATCAGGGGTAAATTGTTATGAAAATACAAACCTCAGGGGGCGGGATGTAATTTCCAAAACCTCAGGGGTATCTGTAATTTAACCAAACCTCAAGGGGTGTATATGTAATTTGCCCAAAAAATAAAAAATTTACCATGTTTATTTTGGGTTGCCACTTTTTTATTTATTCTTGTTAAGAATTATTTGGGGGGAATAACTTATAGGTAGAAGTCAGGAAAAGTAATTACAAAAAGATGAGAAATATTATAAATTTTAATAATTATAATTATAATTTTTTTCATTAATATATAATTAATTTACACTGACACTAATCTTTCAGATTAAAAAAAAAATATGCTATACGTCTCAAATTTTGTACCAAATGAATGATCAAAGGTCTCACATGAGTGTGGGAACTGATAGAAAATTTTGTATCTCTAACAATATTCTTTTAAAAAAAAAAAAATACTGTTGGATCTGCTGCGTGACGGTGCATCAACTGAGAAATGGACAATCGTGCATAACAAAAGTCAAAAAGAAGGAACTCAATCATTAATCTCCTCCGTCCATTTGCCTTGTGAAAAATGGTATATGCTTTGATTGCTTACACAATAGTGAAGCACAGGTGGACTGCAAAATTTAAACAGTAGTTACTTCAAATTCATTAAAAAATTATTTATACAAATTAATAAATCTTATAAATTTTATTTATTAAAAAATTATTATGCAATAATAAAATTAAAAAATGTAAACAGTATTTAATTTAATAATATGATATATAACAAGGCCAAAATTGTGGTTTTCCTTTTCCAGTAAAATTTAAACAGTATTTACTTCAAATTCATTTACATTAAATTTAAAATTCAATAAAATCAAACTGCAATCTGTTTGAATTTATTTAATCGATAAGTTTTGTTTGATCTGATGCTTAATTTTTTCTCAGTTACAATACTTAACTATTTCTTAATTCTGACCAAACCGAATCATGTTTCTTATCTCCATTGATTAGTTAGTGAAAGAATTGATAAGGCACTTAAAATTGGGTAGAGAAAAAGCATGGAAAAAAGGACGAGAAATATTGATGAAGTGGAAAGTCCACTAGACTTGCTTTTTATGCTGCAAAAGAAAATGCGAAGAAGTTGGTGAAGACTTTTGTCAACCAAATTAGTTAGGTTTAGGTAGTACTAGCAGTCGTTGTATTAGGCACTTGTTTTTGTTTCTCCAAATGGGGCAGTTGTTGGAGAAAGAAGCCACATAACATAATCTTCTATGCCTATCATCATTAGATTTCCAAAATATCTAATATATTATATACGTATAACTATAAACAAACTGAATTATTTAGAAATTTGGTTAAATTTAGATTGATAAAAGCTGAATCGACTTAGTTTGTTAAGTAAAGAAACGAACTCGAACCATACTTTTAGGTTCGTTTATTAAACAAGCCGAGTTTGGGTTTGAACAAGCTCGGCCTGTTTATCTGAATAAGTTCAAACCCTGTAAAAATTTGCCCGGCTCGGTTTATTTATTGTCTTAAATGGTGTTGTTGAAATATTATTTAATATTAAAAGCTATGTAAAAAGTATTTTGAAATTGGTGAAAATATTTGATAGGTATAAGCCCATAAAGGCCACGAATCCCCTATGGCCCATCACTTGAAGTCCAGTGCATAACCCAGCTGGTGAGGTCCAGGACAGCTGGAGTCTAACATGGCATAAAGAGCCAATGACATTCAGACACACGACAAGAGAAGGACGAGCCACATCAGCAGATAAAAATCTGCAAAGTTATTGCCACTTCACATCACCATTAATGCAGCCCATCACAACATTTATTACGACAACACCTCCCCGTCGGAATAGGACCCCCCTTACCCTGAGCAAGGTAAGCTACAACATAGGCTTTCGGCGAGGAGAGCAGGTCGGAAGGGACAGCGAAATGATTACCAAAGGATATAAGCGAACGTTGTAGACAAGAAAAAGGTCAAGCTTTTCTATCCCTAACCTCTTCCTCTACACATTACTTCTCTTCCTAACTTGCTCGTCGGAGAGTTCACTGGAGGACTACCCCATTCCCCGTTGAACTTGCCTGCAGGTTATTCGGTAGGCTTGATCATTTGGACGCGGACTTGAGGAGCTTGGACCTGCCCGATCCATTCACTGGAACGAACAGCATTATCAGTTGGCGCCGTCTATGGGAACGCCTTCCTCCTCGCGCCAGTTGTGCTCACTGTCGCCGGAGACCCCGTTCCAACAACCTCTCTCTCCTACCCATCAAAGTGCATGGTCACGACTAGATCCATGGCTTCTCACAATAATGCTGCCGACCATCAAGTCGACCCCCCCAACCACAGTACTTTATCGAGCTTACCAACAGCATCAACCGCATGGCCGAGCAAAACCAGGCCTTGATAAATGCTTTACTCCAAAGGAACCTTCCGATTCCTCCTCCACCACCTCTAGATATTCCCCCCAACCAAGAAAGAACCCCGAGCCATACTGCTCCACAACTCCATCCACCCAACCTGGAAGGTTTGCAACCTCCCCACCTACACATAAATCCACCACCACTACCCCCACACCCGTCGGTCGTAGCACCAGCCCCTGAAGGGGAGACCAGCAGCGTCCAACCTCTATTGACTGACCATGGGGACCACGTTCCCCTCTGGGACCCTGAGCTCCGAGCAATGAAGCTCCAACTCCAAGGGGTCATGCAGAACATTCAGCATAAACCCTCTACCACGGCAAATTCACCATTTATTGCTTCTATCCGGCACAAACCTTTGCCTGCCAAGTTCAAGATACCCATCATTGACTCCTTTGACGGTACGACAGATTCAGTCGACCATCTGGAGACCTACCGTACCCTCATGATCCTTCATGCCTTCCCTGACGAGATCATGTGTCGGGCTTTCCCCGTGACACTGAAGGGGTCAACCCGACTGTGGTTCAGTCAGTTACCAACGGACTCTGTCTCCACTTTCCAGCATCTCAGTGACTCCTTCCTCAGCCATTTCATTGGAGCCCAGCGTCAACGTCGCCCTGCAACCCAACTCCTCAACATCCGTCAGACCGAGGGGGAGTCGCTACGTAGCTTCGTTACTCGCTTCAACACCGAAGCCCCACAAGTAGCGGAGAATGACGATAAGGTCATCCTCATGGCTTTCATGGCCGGGCTGCGATTGTCCGATTTCCTCTTCTCCCTCTCCAAAAATCTCCCGACCTCCATGGCAGCCCTATTATCCAAAGCCCAGAAATATA